ACCCATTCACAGATTTGTGGATGTTGATTTGATCTAAAGAAAAGTAAAAATGAGCCTTGGGTCAACATCCCCTCTACTTTCATTGGCATGACCCACCAAGTAATGTCTTTGGCTTCAGGTAGAATGTTTGTTACACTTAGATCCTGTGTGACGTGAAGAGAGACAATTCGATCACCTGTACAATTTTGGTCGCGAATTGGCATTCAAGAAAAGAGCTGAGGTGACAGGAGGGTTGAGTACCTATATTTTCTGAAATACATTGATCACAAACTAAAAAAAACTGTGTAATAAGCGACCATGATCGTTTCGTTGAAAATATAGAGGAGCGGCTCATCACGGTTGTGATACAGTTTCAGGAATTTCTGCATATTATGTGTAGTCTCCTATGAATGTATTAATTAATGTTTTCCAGCAAAATGCAAGAGATTATAATCAACTCATGAGTTTTGTGGCTTGATAATAATTAACCTCTTGTCGATTTTGAACAACAACGCTCCACGTTCGTAAATTAGTCAGTGTATCGAGTTGCAATGGTAGGAAAATAGAAAAACCCGCGTCTATTTGTAGATATCGTACTGCAAGTAATTAATTTCTACTTGAAACTAAGATTCTCGAAGTAATCAGATTTCAGCGAAGACGCAAACGTATTGATTTGGCTGCGGTTCTTCACACAAGATAAAATTTCCTTTTTGTAGGTTGGATGTTGTCGAGGCAACTCGTCAAGTTTTTTTTATTCACATGACATTAACTTTATTTTCAAGACGGTCATCGTTAAAGGTTAAGGTTGGACGGCACGCTACCCCCTTGTAATTCACAGGGAGGTTTACGGGAGATTAAATAGTGGCCAAGACATTTTAATTAACACACTAAAAGGCTTCTTCCTCTATTAGCCGAGAGCGGAGGATGCAAAGTGGAAGTTGATAATCTCGAAAATCGCTTAATTAAAAACGTTGCACTTCTAACGCCGCCAACGTCGTTATTATCATTTAAGACCACAAAAACGGCTTAATTTGACTAAAAGGAACTACATTAATTTTACAATGCCGAAATGCTGCGGCCGACCGTAATTCAATCAAGCTTTTCTTCCCTCTCGTAACCAACCACTCGCACTTCTTAATTAAGCCTCGCATGAAAAACAAGGACATCGTCACTTTTTACTTCTCTGGCAAAGATTGGACGAGCGAGAATTTGGGGTTTTGAGTTGACCTCTCGGGGCTGACAGGACGCCAATTGCATCTCTACTTATAATTTTACACGTCGCAAATGCGTATGTGTAAATGAACCTTAATCTAGAAATGAGAAGCTGGAGACTGGAAATCAGTACAACATACAGGGGACGGAAGTGATCTGGAACGCGGAAACTACGTGGGTGAGAGGAAACAGATATTAGGAATAGGAGAAAGGAGTTGCAAGAACGAGAATGAACGTAGAAGGAAATTAAAATAATGGCGAGATTCAGATGTGGAGATGAGGGGACAGGGAAAAAGGAATGGAAACGAAGAAGAAAGAAAATATAGAATATTTGGAGAGGAAAAGAGAACATAGAACGCATGCCATGGAATTGCCAGAAGCTACATAGAAAGGACAGGAGTGAGGTGCTGGAAGAGGGCGGAAGAGATTAACCGTGGATGGGAAGATACTAAAAAGGATAGAAGAAAAAATGGAAAAAAGTGGATGTTGAAAAAGGTGCTGTGCGTACAGATATCACCCTGCACAACTGCCCAAAAGCTTTTCAGATCTTCCTTTTATGTCTACGAATATACGTAAGTACCAAATTTGGTTGCAACCGGTTCAGCCGTCTAGCCGGAAATGAGACTACATACCGATAGACCGACAGACCTACATGCCGACAGACTACAGACCACCCGACATCATGGAGATTTTGTTTGATTCGCATTCCTGGTTCTTTAAAACTGGAAATTTAGCATTTACAGGTAGAGCTTGAGGTGTATTGGGAACGAGAAGCTGAATAAAGAGAAATTAGGGCGGAAATTGGGAACTGGAGGAGGCGTGATACCTTCACTCAAAAATGATGTCCACTAACCTAGCAGAGCAAGGTCAGCAGAACACAATCAAACACATTGCATAATAAGGTGCTAATTAGGTGCTAATTAAGTGCCCTATTCCCGAATTAAATGCTCCTCTTTTTTAAATTATTACATGTTCTGCCAGGTTCATATGGACTCAGCAGAGCACTACCTCAAAAAACCAAGAAAATGAAAAGTGAACTAACTATAATTAGGTGCTAATTAGGTGCTAATTAGGTGCTAATTCAGCAGTACCTCAAAAAACCAAGAAAATGAAAAGTGAACTAACTATAATTAGGTGCTAATTAGGTGCTAATTAGGTGCTAATTAAGTATCCTATCCTATTAAATGCTCCTTTTTTTAAATTATTACATGTTCTGCCAGGTTCATTAGAACTCAGCAGAGCACCACCTTAAAATCCCAAGAAAATGAAAAGTGAACTAACTATAATTAGGTGCTAATTAAGTGCCCCATCCATGAATTAAAAGCTCCTTTTTTTTTAATTTATAAATGTTCTGCCAGGTTCATATAGACTTAGCAGAGCACTACCTCAAAAAACCAAGAAAATGAAAAGTGAACTAACTATAATTTGGTGCTAAGTAGGTGCTAATTAAGTGCCCTATTCCCGAATTAAATGCTCCTTTTTTTCTAAATTATGACATGTTCTGCCAGGTTGATATGAACTCGGCAGAGCACTACTTTAAAAACCCAAAAAAAGGAAAAGTGAACTAACTATAATTAGGTGCTAAGTATGTGATAATTAAGTGCCCCATTCTCGAATTAAATGCTCCTTTTTTTTAAATTATGACATGTTCTGCCAGGTTCTTATGAACTCAGCAGAGCACTACCTTAAAAACACAAGAAAATTAAAAAAGTGAACTAACTATAATTAGGTGCTAATTAGGTGCTAATTAAGTGTCCTATTCCCGAATTAAATGCTCCTTTTTTTTTAATTATGAACCTGGCAGAACATGTAATAATTTTTAAAAAGAGGAGCATTTAATTCGGGGATAGGGCACTTAATTAGCACCTAATTATAGTTAGTTCACTTTTCATTTTTTTTTTTTTTGGAGGTAGTGCTCGGATGAGTTCATATGCCCCTGGCAGAACATGTAACGATTAAAAAAAAAATGAGCATTTAGTTCGGGGATAGGACACTTAATTAGCACCTAATTAACACCTAATTATGCAATATGTTTGATTGTGTTCTGCTGACCTTGCTCTGCTAGGTTCATGGACATTTAAAAATGGAATCTTAAAGTCAAGAAAAATCTATCATGACGCTACTAACTTAACGGAAATTAGCATTAAATGCTAGGACGTGCGGGACCAAAATAAAAATAAAATAAAATAAAATAAAATAAAATAAAATAAAATAAAATAAAATAAAATAAAATAAAATAAAATAAAATAAAATAAAATAAAATAAAATAAAATCAAATAAAATAAAATAATATAAAATAAAATATAAAAAAAGTTGACCGACCGACTAGAAATTTGTCTGTTGCAGATCGAAACTCTATGCTGTGTGTTGGTCCTAGGAAACAAATTTGGCCTTGAAGTTACGACAGACAAGGTTTTTGTATATGAATATTGCGGAGAGAGGCTCTTGAGGAATCTAAAAGAAATTAAAAGCTTCAAAAACAACAGGCACCTACAGTTTTAAAAAACTCTGAAGGCTTTTAAAGGCTTTCGGAACCACATCAAAACTTAAATGTTTTTCAGAATCCCAAAAATCTTTCAATAACACTGAAATAGTGCAAAAGGCTCTATGAGGCCTTCGACTGCTTTTGGATAGCATTTGAAGTTGTATGCGATTCTTATAGATTGATAAAAGAACTGAGATGCTCATATTTAAAAAAACGACTAAAGGCTATTAGACACTAAAGGTCATAAATAATACGCTTGGGGGCGGAGCGAGAGCGTAAATACCAGAATAGGCATTTATTTATTTATGACTCCTAAAGGCTCTTAAATATTTTATTGGATTTTCAGAGAATCTTCAAAAAATAGTCAGTAGAAGGTCTATTAAAGGAGGTAAAAAGCTATGGAGGCCATTTCAAACTCATGTAGAGAAAACATTTAGGGATATAAAATACTGTTAAGGCACAATAGTTTCTTAAAAGCTTTAAATACTGAAGGAACCTTGATCACTATTAAAGACTAATAATCGTCTACTTAAGTGCTTTCCAAATGCTGAAAAGTGGAATCTTGAATAGTCTATAATGAAATGAAGGCACTTCGACGATAGTTCAGAATACATAACGAGGGCATCAAAAAGAAATGGTAGCACGATGGTAGGACAATATTGTCCATTAATACCTAGAATATTTGTGCAGCAGGAGTTGTAAATGCGCTTTGGTAGTACTATTTATCAAAATGCAAATAGTACACCCTACAGCTGTACTCTGCACGGACCGGCTACAGAATCAAATTTTTTCCCACCGCGGAAATTTGTTTTCTATCTTGGAAATACTGTGAAAATCTTGGTCGGCAGCGCGACGGTGATGGAGAACAGCAAACATAATAAAGAAAAACGTAAATTTGGGACTGAAGTCTAAGAACGGAAATCAGGTTACTGGATTATTGAAATCAAATCAAGGGAAAACATTTACGGATCTAAAATACGTTAAAGGACAAATAAAGCACCTTAAAACCCTTCAGTATAACAAGTTATGATATGTAATTGACTGCAATCTTTATTGATAAACTTAATAGAGTATTTTTTTCTCGCGTTTTGACAAAGCATTACAGATAAGGAATTACCCGAGCGTCAGCGAATAAAAATGTATATGTTAAAATACCACACTCGTCCATTTTGCATATCTGCTCCGTAGAGATTTAAGCGAGAGGCGAAATTGCATTCGCGCTCAATTAATTAAATCACGATGGCCAACTTTGAGGAGCTTAAATTTTTAACTTTTAAAATTCTCTCTCCGGTTCCATTTTAATGTAATTTTTTTCGTGTTTCAGGCAAAGGCGACTTCAAACCGACAGATTTAGATAGGTAAGTTGGAAAGAATCGATCGCCCGTAATTACTAGCTGATACTGCAATGATTTACTAATAATTAGTTCCTGCAGCTGCCGATATTTATGCCCGTTTATCATGCGAGCCACCTTATCTGATAGACCATCCTTTTGCGGATGTGTGCAGTATAATTTGTATCTTTATCGTTTCTACTGCAACTATTAAAACTTTCTTTATCAACGAAAAAACGACTTTGACGTAAGAAAGGAAAGGGAAATGCTATCACATTGCAGCACGCAAGCACTTCTTTCTTGTTCCGATCAGGATTGCGGCCGTTACAAAGTTTCTGTTTTTGATTACGTACGGGGCACCATAATTGTGTTAGTCTATCTGCCGTAATTGTCAAGGCACGTTACCTCCGACGATGTAAGGGATCCAGGTCCCTGACGAAAATTTCGAATGTATCTCCCAAACGATAAAATATTAAGATGGTTATCACACTAAAAGCTTTTAACAATAATTTCCCTTCTTTAAATTCCATAAATGGTAATGTATATGGTAATACGCACGTACTTCCCAAATTTATTTGGCCAATTTTAAAAGTAGCGACATTAAGAGGGCGATGGGACGTGGTGTACTGCGAACCGGTTAACTACAATATCCGATTTTACGATCCAATCTGTTAAAACGTTTGTCTCTATTCCGTTTTTACGTCATTCTCCTCGTGAATTGCCGAATATCTAATTTATACTCTTACCCGCATATCGATTCGACTCTATTTTTTTTCCTTCCTACTCGCGCGGACGACCGCAAGCTTTTGTCTTTGAATATTTACGCGAAATAACGAGAAATTGCTTGCGGCATGTTTATATTGGTAGTGCTCTCTTATCGCGTATATTTTCGTAAGCGAACAAAAGAACCGCTTATGTCGCTTGAAAGAATTTCTGTTTCTTTATCTATATTAGATTCCTGGCATTTACCGTTTAAAATGCGGCTGATGCGACCAACTCGTATGGGTGGGCGATGCTGAAGATGCTTCATTGTCGATGCCGCCAACTTGTACGGTGGAGCGATGCGGTTAATTGTCTTAGTTGACATAACCACTCGTATGCATTGGCACATTATTTAAATTTTCAAGAACAATAAGAAAATATGCGCTTAGTTTCAATTCACTAGTAGTCTCTAATGTATATTCCGCATAGCTTGCTCAATTAAATGGTATACTCGATAGCTGCGTCTCTGAGAAGCTGAAGCTTACTCGTTACTTAAGTTATATGAATGTAGAAAGGCAGCCCTTCTTAAAGGTTTCCTTTCTGTTTTTGAAAACCCTCTCACCCGTCACGTAAATGGGTTTTCACGTTTTAGGCTGCTGACTAAAGTCCTCAAGTTTTAGATGTCGCGTTTTAAGACCTTCAGTTTCTTACTGTTAATTGACTGGTTCAATCTTCCAGTACAAAAATCCCGTCTTTGGGATATAGACTTTTAAGCTGCAAGGTGGTTCTCAGAATTCTCAATTTAGGCTGCAGACCGCACTTAGTTTTAGGCTTTTGCTCTTAAATATTAAGTTTTAACCTCGGTTTTAGCCTATAGTCGAGGGTCGAGATAAGTTCCGGCATTAGGTCGTGTAGAAGTTGTAGACTGCAAATGTAATGAATTGTAGATTCTTTTGGATTCTATTGATTCAATGGGTTGTGTAGATTCCGCTGAATTTGCAAATCCTGTTGATTCTCTGCAGATTCTGAAGATATTGTTGATTCTGTAGAGTTTCCAGCTTCTGCAGATTGTACACAGTGTGCAAGACCCGTCAATTCTTTAGACTCTGTTAACCCTGAAGACTTCTGAAAATGTGCATTTTGTAGGTTTAGTGGATTTCATAAGCTTTGTAGATACTGTTTCTTCTGTTGACTATACGCATTGTTCCATTCCCCAGATTTTGAAGTGCTTGCAGACGCTAAAAGCTTAAGATCCAAAGGTACCTGTAGATTCTGACGATTCTGTTGATTCTGTAGCAACTGTGAAATATGCAGATACCGTACAGTTTGTAAATTCTTTTGATTTGTACCTTTTGTACACTTTGCAGATTCAAAAGATTCTGTAACCTATAAACTCTATGGCTGCCTGGTTCTGAAAGTTGAAACCAAACGCTACAAACCTTACAGATGGCATATATCTAATATACCATGCAGATTCGGAATATTCTGGAGATCCTGTTGATTTTGTAGAGAGTGTAACTTCCGCAGATTCTACACACTCTGCAAATCTTATCAATTCTTTAGACTCTGTGAATCCTGAAGGCTTCTAAAAACTTAGTTAATTTTGTAGATTCAGTAGGTACGTTCTGTAGCTTCAGCAGATACAAGTAGAAGTTATACATCTAGAAGTCCGGTAGTGGATTTTGTTGATTCTGTGGATTCAGTCGTTTCTATCGCTTCTGTCGAATCTGTCGTTTATGCCGTTTCTGGAGTTTCGGCCGAATTTGTCTATCCTGTTGATTCTGTTGATTCTGATATACTCTCGGTACTATAGATACTCTCAATTCTGTCGATTCTGTCGATTTTGTAGATTCCGTCTATCTCGTTGATACAGTTAATCGTCGTTTCCTTTTTTTCCGTTGATTCCGTTGATTCTGTTGATTATGTTTATTCAGATGATTCCGTTGACTCCTTTGATTCCATTGATTCCGTTGATTCAGTACATTCTGTAGATTCCGTATGTTTCGTAGATTCCGATGATTCCGTTGTGTCCGTTGATTGCGTGGATTCCGTCGATTCTACCTAATCTCTCAATTCTGTGACTTCTGTTGATTCTGTTGATTCCGTTGATTCCGTTGATTCCGTTGATTCAGTTGATTCAGTTGATGCCGTTGGTTCCGTTGATTCCTTTGATTCCGTTGATTGCGTTGTGTCCGTTGATTGAGTGAATTCCGTCGATTCTACCAAATCTGTCAATTCTGTGACTTCTGTTGATTCTGCTGATTATAAGATTTGTGGATTTCTAAATATTTTGTGTTTTTGTATATTTTGTAGATCTTTCAAGCGCTGCAAATCGTGTAGAAGTTGCAAATTCAATAGTTCATGTAGATTCTCTTGATTCTGTAGGGTTTGGTCTTGAAGAGTTTACAAATTTTGTGGATTGTGAAGAGTTTGTAATGTCGTACATCTTCTTTTAATGTTGATTCTATAAGCCACATAGATTTTGCAAGTTTAGTCAATTCTGTTGGTCCTTTAAGTGATTGTACATTCGTACGATTTCCTGGTTCTCAAACCTCTCGCAAACGCTACACATTTTGTGGAAGCCATTCATCCGCAAACCATGTTGACTGTTGACCCTGTGCATTCCTGCATTCTTGGTTTTGAAAGCTATTGGAGACGCTGCAAGTCGTATAGAAGTTGAAAATTCTGTACTTTTGGAAATTTTGTTTCAATCGATTTTGTAAAGGCCTTAAATTCTGTAGATTTTGTACATTTTGCAGGTGCTGTAGATACTGTAGGTTCTGAAGATACTGTAGATTCTGTAAATTCTGTATATTCTGTAGATTTTGTAGATTCTGTAGATTCTGTAGATTCTGTAGATTCTGTAGATTTTGTAGATTCTGTAGATTCTGCAGATTTTGCAGATTCTGTAGATTCTGTAGATTCTGCAAATTCTGTAGATTCTGTAGATTCTGTAGATTCTGTAGATTCTGTAGATTCTGTAGATTCTGTAGATTCTGTAGATTCTGTAGGTTATGTAGGAATATGTAGATTCTGTAAATTTTGTAGATTCTGTAGATTATGTAGATTCTGTAGATTCTGTAGATTCTGTAGATTATGTAGATTTTGTAGATTCTGTAGGTTATGTAGGTTATGTAGATTCTGTAGATTCTGTAGATTCTGTAGATTCTATAGATTCTGTAGGATATGTAGGAATATGTAGATTCTGTAAATTTTGTAGATTCTGTAGATTCTGTAGAATCTGTAGATTCTGTAGATTCTGTAGATTCTGTAGATTCTATAAATTCTGCAGGTTATGTAGGAATATGTAGATTCTGTAGATTCTGTAGACTCTGTAGATTTTGTAGATTCTGTAAATTCTGTAGATTCTGTGGATTCTGTAGATTCTGTAGATTCTGTAGATTCTGTAGATTCTATAGATTCTGTAGGTTATGTAGGAATATGTAAATTCTGTAGATTCTGTAGATTCTGTAGATTCTGTAGATTCTGTAGATTCTGTAGATTATGTATATTCTGTAGATTATGTAGATTCTGTAGATTCTGAAGATTCTGTGGATTCTGTAGATTCTATAGATTCTGTAGGAATATGTAGATTCTGTAGATGCTGTAGATTCTGTAGGTTATGTAGGTTATGTAGATTCTGTAGATTTGGTAGATTCTGCAGATCCTGTAGATTCTATAGATTCTGTAGGTTGTGTAGGTTATGTAGGTTATGTAGATTCTGTAGATTCTGTAGATTCTGTAGATTCTGTAGATTCTGTAGATCCTGTAGGTTATGTAGGTTATGTAGGTTATGTAGATTCTGTAGATTCTGTAGATTCTGTAGATTCTGTAGATTCTGTAGATCCTGTAGGTTATGTAGGTTATGTAGGTTATGTAGATTCTGTAGATTCTGTAGATTTGTTACATTCTGTAGATTTTGTGAAAACATTTTTTATAATTTTTGGGTCTGTAAGTTCTATATAGATCCTGAGATCCCCTTATGAATACCAACCAAAGGTAAAAAACAAATTTCCCACCTACAGTCATGTTTTTGGAAGCGTTCAAAAGAAACACTTTATCTGCGTCTGTTGCCAGCGATAGATCGCTATTTTAGTATTTTTAACTTGAAATTCAGCTCAAATTCAATGAAATTGACGTAAAATTCAATTTGTATAATATCTAGAATAAAAGTAACGCTTTGTACACAAATGTCAATGTGAAGGTGGGCGTTTACGTTTGCATCCAGACGCCTGAATTAATTGCGGGTCTTTAATTGTTAGTCAAATTTTTGTTTCAAATTATTTAATTAATCTGGTGGGGTTTTACCTTTAAGGACAGGACCAATTATTGCGTGTCTAGTTGTAATTATTGTAGATAAATCGGACTGAATGAAATCCACTTTGTTCAATTACTCAACGGTGGTGTGAGGAACAGTCTACAATTGGGACGAGTGACAGTGTACCTCTTACATTCTCTGCTTTCTCTACATTCTCTACCTTTTCTACATTCTCCACATTCTCCACATTCACATTTTCCACATTCTCCACATTCTTTGCATTCTCTACATTCCTTAGTTTCCAAAGATTTCATTAATTCCGTAGATTCTGTAGATTTTCCAGATTCATCATATTCTCCACTCTCTCTGTCAGTTCTGTTTTGTTGATGCCGTACATCCTGTGAGCTGCGTACCTTTCGTTATACATAGATTCTAAGATCTCCTTATGGATGGCGACGCAATTACCAACCAAAAGTAAAAAAAAAGTTTCTGACCTACAATCATGTTTTTGAAACACTTTATCTGCGTCTGTTGCCAGCGATAGATCGGTTTTTGGTATTTTTAACTTGAAATTCAGTTCTAGTTCAATTACATTGACCTAACATTCAATTTGAACCGTATATCTGGAGTCAAAATAATGCTATGTAAACTATGTCAATATGGATGTTGAGGTTTGCATCCAGACGCCTGAATTAATGGCGGGTCAAATT